AGCGAGAGCAGTGGCAGAGCCCATGTTAGTGCTGGAGAGGGCCAGAGAGCCGGGCTGAGCAGGAGCCAGGCCAGGGAGTCCTGAAGGGGCGGACGGGGACATCCCTTAGCTTGGGAGGCTGGACAACAAATATACAGATAGATGTTAAGCGGTGATGAGAGCTCTGAAGGAAAATAAAGCAGGGTGAGGGGATAAAGAGGGGACAGGAACCCTCTTTTGGATGCGCTAGTCAAGGAAGGCTTCTCTGAGGAGGCGATAATTAAACAAAGATCTGAGGGAAGTGAGTGAATGGCCATGTAGATATGTAGGGAAGAAGTTTCTAGAAAAGGAAAGAATAAGCACAAAGTCCCTTGAGGGGGCGCCGGGTGGACTGTTTGAGAAACAGGAAGGAGTAGAGCAACGGAGGGGGAGGACAGGAGGTGAGGTGGTCAGGAGGTGAGGGGCAGGGGGGCGGATCATCAGGACCCCGAGGTGACTGTGGGGGGCCCACGGGGGCACTGCAGGCAGAGGAGAGACAGGATCCCTCGGGCCACTGAGGCGGGAACAGAGCGCAGCGGGTGAGGACAGGAGCGGCGTGCAGGGAGGAGAGAGGGCTGTGCCATGCAGGCGAGACATGGTGGCAGCTCCAGGAAGGGTGGTGGCGGGTGAGCTCTGGAATATCCCGAAGAGAGAGCTGGCGGGGATTTGCTGATGACTAGATGTGGCGTGACGGCAAGGAAGAAAAGCAGGGACGACACGAATGTTCCGGAATCCTGGAGCCGCCAGGGGAGACCATGGGACACGTTCGGGGAGGGGGACGCGATCAGGAGGCCGCTTCGCATACGTCAGGTTTGAAATGCCAGGCGCGGGTCCAAGGGGAGATGGTAAGTAGGCAGCTGGAAGCTGGGGTTCAGGTTCAGTGTGGGGTTCAGGGCAAGAGGATAAAGGCAGATCAAACAGAGTGGTGGCAAGAGGGAGGGGTGAGGATAGAGGAAGGCACCTGAGCACCAATCCTCACATCTGCGCAGTCCTGCACACGCACGCACGCAGTGAGTCTTGCCAGGGATGCCACCATGCCCAGGGCCGCCTTCCTGGCCTCTTGTGCGAGAGGTAGCAGATTGCCCCAGCCTCACCAACACCTCATGTGCCCTGCCAGGGCCGGCGTCATGGCCCAGAGCCCCTGCCCCCCAAGTGAGGGCGGCCGCCCAAGGTGGACAGCCAAGTAGTGCAGAGCCTCAGCTGACCTCCCTCCCCAGCTTTGTGTGAGCAGAAGAGTGAAAATAATTGGGGTGCTCAAGGCCAAATTTCCAAACAGCTCCAACGGGGGGCCCTGATGTAGCCTGGGCTTGTAGTGAGAGGCCTCCCCCTGACCCCCGGTGCATTCTCGAACATGACGAGGGAGGGGCTGAAAGCTCACCACCAGTGCCCACATCCCTACAAAAGTCTGTACCAGATGGCAGAAGCTGGGCACGGAGACCACCTCAGAACTGCCAGGCTCAGATGGCAGCGTGGAACGAGGAAAGCGTCACCCCAACGAGAAGACAATGGGCACTTCTGTCTAATTTGCCAGCAAGCGCCAGAAAAGGTGTCCTCCCCCACCCTGCCCCCCCGCAAAGCAGTGTAGTGGAAAGCTGTGATTGCCACCTCAGTACGTTTTCCTTCCTCCTCATTCCCACAGTCCTTGATTTCCGCTTTGCTGGAAGTCACCAAATTGCTCGTGGGCAGTGGAGTTGCCCATGTGCGTTCCCACTGCTAATGTGTGGGACTCGGTTTCCCCACATCCCCACCAACCTTTGGTGTGATGGGGACTCTGCGTATTCGCTATGGCCACTGTTGCCTTCATTTGCATTTTGCTGATTACCAGAGGGATTGAGCACGTGCTGCCAATTTTAATCCATGTGCACAACTTATTTTCACCATCCAAGCTGATCTATGGCAACATTCCTGGGAACACTGCTCTGGGGTGGGTCGTGCGACGCTATGCTCCTTGTGTAAATCATCACCGTCATCAGGGCTAACACTGCTTAAGGGCTTACTGTGTGTCACTGTTCTAACATTTCATCCCCACAAAACCCTAGGAGCTAAGTAACATTCTTATCCTTCCTCGAGGTAACCAAGACTAAGAAGTTAAATAACGTGTCCAAATTCACTCAGTTAGAAAGTGGTGGAATCAGGATTTGAACCTAGGCAGAGTCCTTGCTCTTAACCGCTTTGCAAAGAGCTGGGAGGAATCTCATTGCCAGAACACTACAGAACTTGACCCATGGGTATGCAACGCGAGCGAGCACACTCAGGCAGCTGACATGTGCTAAAAGTTGACTGAGTACCTTTTGTAGAAACTGAGGATGCAATTCATCCCTTTCAGGGTGTTTATAATTGAGATCCCAGTCCCCGGAGACAGAGGAAGCCAACATACAGAAATACCCAAGAACAAACTGGTATTTATCCTTCTTCTACTTTGCATGTCTCACTTCGTCCTTTGTCTGTCTCTACTGCAAGCATGGGGTAGCAGAAAGTAAGATGTTTGCCAAATGAAAACGCCAATCTTGTAAAAGATGCCAGGTTTTGTAAAATTAATTAAAGGGATGCTGGAGGATAGCTCGAAGCACACGCAAATCCATTGACAAACAATATTCTGATCCATGAGGTAACTGAAGAAGAGGCCGCTGGAAAGGATGAGGAGATAGTAAGTACTTCCTGGGGGTAAGATTCAGAAGTCAGAGGAGTTAGAGAGGCCCTTGGGAAAACTGACCAAATCCCAAATGCTTCTGCAAAAATGACCTGTTATGATTTTGCTGTGCAAACTGCAGGTTCTGTAAAGGACATCACATTCTGTTATCACTTCAATTTGTTGGACAAGTCACCCCCCCCCCCAACTATCCCTTCACCAACCCACTTGCTTAAAGAATCAACCCATTAGTCACCATCACAACATAACATTTGTTGCTATGAGATACATCAAATAAGGTAATTTTCAAAATTTTGTAGTTTTTTTCCCCAAGATAAAAGGCCCAACTAAACGCACTAAAAGCACTATTTACATGATATGTTGGCCCACAGTTGGTCCACTACTGAAGGAACGTTTTTCTGGTTTCAGTCTTGCACAGTTCAGGCTGATCTCTTGTAGTCGAAAGGGAGTCACACACACAAGTGGTTGTGAACTGTTACTATAGTTTGATAATCTTCCCTCAGTATCCGCTGTCGTCTTCTCCTACAGAAAGGAATTTCTAGCTGGGAAAATGGTCACCCAGAGTGGAGACTGCATTTCTTAGGTTCCTCTGCAGTCACATGTGCTCATGTTACTCATTTCTCATCAATGAGATACAAGGAGAAATGGAAAGCAGCTGAATCTCTGATCAATTTAGTAACACCTAAATAGATAGAGCAAAGGCTAATAGACCTAAAGAGAGAGACAGATGGCAATACAATGATAGTAGGGGACTTTAATACACCACTTTCATCAACGGATAGATCATTTAGGCAGATAATCGTAAGAAAACGTTGGCCTTAAATGACACGGTAGACCAGATGAACTTAACATTTACAGACCATTCCATTCCCAAGCAACAGAACACACATTCTTCCCAAGTGCACATGGAACATTCTCCAGGACAGATCATATGTGGGACCACAAAACAAGTCTTAACACATTTAAGAAAACTGAAATCGTATCAGGCATATTTTCCAACCACAATGTATGAAACTAGAAATCAATCACAAGAAGAAAACTGGAAAATTCACAAATATGGGGAGAGTCAACAACATGTTACTAAAACAACCACTGGGCCAAACAAGAAACCAAGAGAAATTTTAAGAAAATACCCGAGACAAATGAAAATGGAAAGAAAACATCCCAAAGTGTATGGGATGCAGCAAAAGCAGTTCTAAGAGGGAAGTTCATTGTGATAAACGTTTACATCAAGAGACAAGAAAAATCTCAAATAAACCACCTAACTTTACACCTCAAGGAACTAGGAAAAGAAGAACAAAGCCCAAAGTTAGTAGAAGGGAGAAAATAATAAAGATTATAATAAAAATAAATGAAATAGAGACTAAAACAACAGAGAAGATCCATGAGGCTAAGAGCTGGTTCTTTGAAAAGATCCACCAAATTGACAAATCTTTAGCTAGACTCACCAAGAAAGAGAAAGGACTCAAATAAAACCAGAAATGAGAGGTGTTACACAGAAATACAAAGGATCATGAGACTACTATGAGGAATTATGCGCCTACAAATTAGACAGCCTAGAAGAAATGGATAAATTCCTAGAAAGATACAATTTACCAAGACTGAATCATGAGCAATTAGAAAATGAATAGATCATTTACTAGTAAGGAGATTGAGCCAGTAATCTAAAACCTCCCAAAAAACAAAAGTCCAGGACCAGAGGGCTTCACCGGTATGTTCTAACAAACATTTAAAGAAGAATTAAGGGTGCCTGGGTGGCTCAGTTGGTTAAGCATCTGCCTTTGGCTTGGGTTGTGATCTCAGGGTCCTGGGATCGAGTACTGCATTGGGCTCCCTGCTCAGCAAGGAGTCTGCTTCTCCTTCTCCCTCTGCCTGCCGCTCCCCTCTGCTCGTGCTCTCTCTCAAATAAATAAACAAAATCTTAAAAAAAAATAAAGAAGAATTAATATCAATCCTTCTCAAATTCCTCCAAAAAACAGAAGAGGAGAAAACACTGTTAGACTCATTCTATGATACCATAACCAGACAAGGACACCACAAGAAAAGGAAATTATAGGCCAATATCCCTGATGAACAGAGATGCAAAAACCCTCAACAAAATATGAGCAAACTGAATTCAACAATACAATAAGAGGATTACATCCCATGATCAGGTGGGATTTACTCAAGGGATGCTAGAAGGGTTTACCATATGCAAGTTGATCTATGTGATATACCACATGAAGAAAATGAAGGATAAAAACCATACGAGCATCTCAACAGATGCAGAAAAAAACATTTGACAAAATCCAACATCTATTTATGATAAAAACTCTCAACAAAGTGGGTACCCTCAACATACTAGAGGCCCTATAAGACAAGCCCACAGCTAACATCACACTCAACAGCGAAAAACTGAAATCCTTTCCTCTAAGATCAGATCTGAAGTTTTCTACACAGGCCTTCTGGTCAGATGTTCTAAAGGCGGAGTGTGAGCTACATTCTGCCTTCAGACAGCCTTTGTTTGGCCCCTACGGTACATTTTTTAAAAAATTGAGTTCGGCAACTTTTTTTTTTAATATCAGCAGATTTCAGCTAAAAATACGGTGAGAAATATTTGAAAGTTGGTACCACTGAACACAAAACAAATGGCTATAATTATCTGGACCTGAGTGGCAGACGCCCCTTCCAATAGGAGCCCTCTGGTCTGCTGCAGGACCTCTGTCCCGATTCTTCTATTTATATTCAGGTCCCCACAACTACCTGGGAGTGTACCTGTGGTAAATTCTGACACCTGCGGTTTTCTGCAGAGACCCAGGAACCAACAGGCTTATGTGTATAGGATCGAGGCCTTCCTGGTTCTCTCAGGAGGATCCCCTTTCTGGGTGATTATGGCAGGCGAATCCATCTGCAAGGAGACACACCTGCCTCTTGATCCCCACCACCCCAATGGGCCCCACCAGCCACATGTGTATCCGAGGAGAAGCCCCCCCAGTCTGGAAGGCTGCCTCATCTCTGAACTGAGTTGAGGGAGACGTCGATCCTTCCCTCCTGTCACTCCCACCAAACAAGCCCCTTGTCCCTCGGACACAACTTCCCCGGGGTAGCAATATCTCAGGCACGATGTCTGATTTCACGACTGCCTTGGTTCCTTACCCAAGGTGGGGAGTATTCACTTCTTAACAATTCAATTTAATTGGGTTTGGAGGATTTTGCGTGGTGCTAGAGGTAAGTGTTTTCACTGTGTCTTTGTTCCAGGCCTGGCGGGTGAGCCTTGGGAACCGACCAAGGTACCTCCCGCAAGACAGACAGGAAGCCCCACTCGCTCTGGGTCCACCCCCCCACTCCCGCCCTCCCGGAATAGCACACCGCCACACTGACCACAGGAGAGATGGAGCGTGCTGGGTAGTGCAGACAGCCAAGTGTAGACAAACCGTCCATGTCAACTCCCGGGCCAGTCTGCAGAGGGGCCACACAGTCCTACATATGCTTCTCTCCATTTTCCACACCAATTTTCATCCCCACCCCCACCCCAATGTTCTGGAACCTTCTTCCATACTGATGGTCTGAAGTCAACAAATCAGTCCCCAACATAACCCACGGTGAATGCAAACTGTGCATAAGTACTTCCAGCCTCTCTCTGTATTATAGTTCATATTTTAAATGGACTGATTTTTAAAAAAAAATTCCAATTCCTTTGAAAAGGTCCGTTTCTTTCACTACTATAGGCAAGTCATTTTGCCTTTTTTCTAATGCATAAATGCACAACTTTTATATTAAAATGAAGTTGTCCGTGGGCTACCTAAGATCATCTAAAATCCCGGCAGGATAGGGACCCCGGGCTGGCGTGAGGCCAGGGCACCTGGCAGCCTTTCTGACGCTCCCTGCCCGCCCGCCCGCCCGCCCGCCCGCGGCCTCCTGGCTCCCTGTACCTGTCCGGTACCCCGTGCTGTTGAGGTAGACGGCGAAGGTGCGGCTCTCGTGCTGTGCCTGCCAGGAGGGCGAGGAGCAGTTCTCGTTGTTGGTGTAGGTGTTGTGGTTGTGGACGTACTTCCCGGTGAGGATGGAGGAGCGCGAGGGGCAGCACATGGGCGTGGTCACGAAGGCGTTGATGAAGTGCGCCCCGCCCTGCTCCATGATGCGCCGCGTCTTGTTCATCACCTGCATGGAACCTGCAAGCAGGAGCCAAGGTGAGGTGCGGCAGGCCCGCTCCTAACCCGTGCCCCAGGGGGCCACGGGACAACAGTGGTTCTCAACAGGGTGGCACCCCCCTCCCTGGGGAGATTACATTTTGGAAATCTCTGGGGACATACGGGGGGCACCACTGTCACGTGTGGGCAGGCGCCAGCAAGGAATATCTGTGCAAGAAATTTCCTGGGTCTGCAGTCCCACTGGGTGGTCATGGGGAGCGGGAAAATACCTGTTTGTAAATGATCCAAGCCTAGAGTGGAACTTTGTTTTATGTAGAAACAGAACATCTTTTTTGCAGGATATTAATGTACAGTGTATTCCCCCCCACCTTTTTTTTTTTTTTTTTTTTGGAAAGCAACCACTATGTAAACCAAGGGAAGATTCTTCTTTTTTTTTTTTTTTTTTAAAGATTTTATTTATTTATTTACTAGAACGAGAGAGAGAGACAGCGAGAGAGGGAACACTAGCAGGGGGAGTGGGAGAGGGAGAAGCGGGCTTCCTGCCGAGCAGGGAGCCCAACGTGGGGCTCGATCCCAGGACCCCGGGATCATGACCTGAGCCGAAGGCAGACGCTTAACTGACTGAGCCACCCAGGCGCCCCACCAAGGGAAGATTCTACTTTGTTTTGTTTGGAACTTTCCCAAGAATTGTTCACTTTTACTGGAATCCGGTCATGCCAGCTCACTGGGCTCACCCTCTCCCTGCACACTCCTCGGCCGAAAGCTCTCTGCTTCTTTGTCCACATCGTCCTTCTACTTTGGAATCCACTTCCCACCTCTCCCCAGATTCAACCCACCAGCCAAGGCACACTCTTCTAGTGATCACTCTGGCTTCTGATTCCTTGGGCTGTTACTATGCATGCAGCATATGTTATTAGGACTTAATTATATACCACCAGGTGTTGTGGCTTCATTCATGCCTTTTCTTGTTTCTCAATGAAGCTGTAGCAGCGAAATTCACTTAGGAAGGAAAGGAAACTACCGTGTTCTAGAAGCCTACTGTGCACAGGTGCTTTCATGGTCACTGCCCTGCTGAGGGCCCCACGAGAGCAAAGACTATGTGCCTTGCTCGGTACTCAATCCTCAATGCCCCCATGGTGTGTGAAACACAGTTGGCACTTAGTAAATGTTTGCAGAGTGGATGCGTAGTACTATGGCTGGTATCTGAATATTTAGTAGGTTTAGAGAAATATTCAATGGAAATCATTTTCCGCTTCCTTTCTGTGGCCACCCTCAGTTGCTTTCATTTTTCCTTAAAGTTCTTAGGGTCTGTCATGGCTTGAGTGATGCAAAGCCTTCCCCCCTTCCCCCACATGTCCACGTCATAACCCTCAGAACCTGGGAATGTGACCTTCCTTGGAAAAAGGGTCTTTGTAGATGTAGTTAAGGATCTTGGGGTGAGATTGTTCTGGATTACTTGGGTGGGCCCTAAATCCAATGACAGGTGTTTTGTAAGAGACAGAAGGGAGAAGACCCACAGACACGAAGGGGACGGTCATGTGAGGACGGAGGCAGAGGTTGGAGAGAAGGGCCTCCAGGAGCTGGAAGAGCAAGGGAGTCTCCTCTAAAGCCCCCCCCTTTTTTCTTAAGATTTTATTTATTTATTTAATTGACAGAGAGAGACAGCGAGAGCGGGAACACAAGCAGGGTGACTGGAAGAGGGAGAAGCAGACTCCCCGCCGAGCAGGGAGCCCGATGCGGGGCTCCATCCCAGGACCCTGGGATCATGACCTGAGCCGAAGGCAGTCGCCTAACCGACTGAGCCACCCAGGCGCCCCTCCTCTAAAGACTTTTGAGGAAGCATAACCCTGTCAGCACCTTAATTCTGGACTTCTGGCTTCTAGAACTATGAAAGAGTAAACCGATACAGGGCCTACCAGGCATTTGAAGTTTTTGCTGGAGAGCTGCCGATCCCAATCACCAACAGCCCCTTGGAGATGCAATGATGACTGATCAGACCCACCTCAACCCTCTGTCCCTACCAGAGAAGAATGAAAAGGAGATTTATAGGGCTCTTTTTATCCCATCTTTCTGCCAAATAGGGACGGAAACAGAGTTAGAACTTCCCTGAGGCAAATATAGATCATATCTCCTCACTGTTTAAAACCACTGGATAGCTTCCCATGGCACTCAGAAGAAAAACTGAATTCCTTACCAGGGTCTAAGACTCTTCCAGACTTGCCCTTGCTGCCAACCCACCTCCTGTGTTCCTTTGACCTCATCTCTCCCCTCCCCCTTGCTCACCTGGCTACACCGGCCTCCTCATGGTTTCTCAAATACTCCAATCTCATCCTTGCCCCAGGATCTTTGCACTTGCTATTGCTTCTGCCTGGGACTCTTCCTGAGACTCTGCTTTGCTAGCTTGTCCCATTATTAGATCTCAACCCAAGGTCACCTCCTCAGCAAGGCCTAGCTGGCCTCCCCGTCTGAAGGAGCCTCCACTGTTTACTCCCTCTCACACCAGTGTATGTTTCTTCCTGACATTTATCTCCTTCTGAAATGGTCTCCTTTACTGGTTCATTTGTTTATGATATACTTTCCCTGGACTGAGAGTTCTGGGTAACTCAGGGCGCTGTCCAACGCCCCCCCGGGGAATATGTAATCGGTGCTCTATAAAAACTCAGAGTGATGGAAGGAAACACAGCAAAGCCTGCCCTTTCCTGCCCAGCATTTGAGGTGGTTTTATAAGGGATGTCCTCCTGGAACCAGGTGTGTTCCCTGAGCCTCTCGGCTAAGGCTGCCAGCAGTGGGTGGAGGAAAGAACCAGCTTTGTGTTATGAACGGAACAGGAATCATCAGGCCTTGGAACTGTGTGAACGTCTCTTCTCAAGGTCACATGCCCTTGCAAGAAGCCCCAGGGGACCCAGCTGTAACTGTAGGCAATTAAGGGTTTCTACCAGGTATGACACTTCCCTCTGGAGGGGACGGATGAGGTGGGCTTTCCGAGGCCTGCCTCGACCATCTGGTGCTCATGCGCTGGAGCCTGCAGAGGGAGCAGGGCACGGTCTCAGGGTCCGGCGGAGCCGTGGGATGCCACCGGCCTTGGGCCCCGCCTGGGGAAGTAGCAGGATTGCAGGCAGGCCTTCTGCTTGCCCATCAGTTCTTTCTACCTTGAATTCTTACCGCAAACAGGTATCAAGGTCATGCCGCTGAGGCCCCAGGCTTGAACACTAGCCACATTCCCACCTCACGGCCTTTGCCTGAGCTGGGCCCTCTGCCTGGAGGACTCCCTCCTAACCTCCCTCAGGTTATGGAGCAAATGTCAAATATCTGAGTGGCCTTCCCTGGCTCAGAATGGACACTGCTACTCTTGCTTCCGGCACCCGCCACACCCCTCCCCTCCCACTTCTCCCCACAGCACCTCCTGCCCTCGGACACCACTTCTAGTTCACCTCTTTGCTCGCTGCCCGTTGCCCCTCCTGGCTCGGCCACATGGGGGCAGGGATCTGGGCCTACTCTGTTCACTGTTATATCCCCCAGCCTAGCACAGTGCCTGGCACACAGCGCGTGCTCAGTAAATATCTGCTAAATTCACAAAACAGGATCTTCCTCTTTAGGTTTCTATATAACTCAAGAGCCCCAGCTGGTTTGTGTTCACGGTGCTTTTTGTGCAGTGGATTTGGAAAATCTGACTTGAAATAGCATCCGATGGAGCCCGTGTTCTCCAGTTTGCCACACTCCCCAGCGTGCCCTGTAGTCTTGCACCCATTTTTGCCCATTCGTGTTATCTGCCAGGTCCCTGAAGGCCTTGGTTTGGCAACCTCTTAGTATAATTTCGTTGATGAGACAGGTCCAACCTCTTCCTGGGGCAGAGGGCAATGTTATATGCCAATAATAATCATAATTATTAACAGTAGTGAGTCTGGTTGGCTGTATGCTTGCTCTACGCACCATGCTGGGCATGTGTCAAGCATCATTTTACTTAATCCCCTCAACAGCCCTTTAGAGGATAGAGAGTTAAATGACTGGTCAGAGCCACAGAGCTTGGGAAGTGGGATGTGCGGACTCAAACCCAGGCCTGTCCGACAGGAATGGGTGGTGCTGGGTGTCACGTTCCAGAAACGTATGGTTCACACCACTCAGGAGGTAGTGGTAATACAGCCAGGGAATGCACAGAGCTCTCTATGCACTTGCTCAATTCTTGGCTTCAGTGAGGCTCAGAAGGGTCCTGGGCCGGATGTTGGGTCCCCTCATTATCATCCCAGAGGTGGCTTTAGCTGGTACGTCAGCCATGGGAGCAGCACAGAATCACATCGCCAAATACTGGGGATGCCAGCGGTGGGAAAGTACTCCCTTTACTACTGATAAGCTCCAGGAGAAAGTGTCGGTCGGTGCTGGCACATCTTTAACACCTACACGACTCCTGTTTCCAAGGGGAGTGAGCCGGCCGCCTGCTCAGAGCTCAGTGGGCAGCATGATCGGCTTACGTTCAGTCGAGTGGTTTAGTGTCCTCTGCTTAGGACAAGCGATCCTGGCTTCTCTCGGTTAGGGTGGTGGAGGACTCTTGTTCTTTGAAACAAAACAATTACAGCTGACTAAAAGAGGTCAATACTAGTACAAGCAGCACATAGGTGAGAAAGTTCTGGAAAGGCGTTTGGCGCACACTGGCTTCGTGCAACCGAGAACCGCGCGCACAGTGAGGTTACGTGGCTGTGGGCTACACAC